GTAATTTCATCCTTATAATTAATAAAATTTAAGTAATCAATAAGATGATTTTTATAATTCCCAAAATATTTAAATATTAAATTATCTCATGTCAGAAAATTTTCAGATAGTTTTTCAATACATTAAAAAAGCTGATATATGTCTTTGACAATCAATTCAACTGTAATATTTAGTAGTTTAACAGATTTATTAAATATTCAACTCATTTAATTCTAAAATTTCTGGTTTTTCATCTATCTGAACTTACATTGCATCAACCTAGTTTCAACATTCATTGTAATTTGTAAATGTCTTAATATGATGATAATAGTTATATTACAATTAGTTTTCTGAACTGATCAAGATTTTATTATAAATAAATTCATTAATACTATAACAAATTATTTAATTGGTAGAAAAATTTGGTATAATACAATAAAATATTAAAAAATTAATACATTTGTAAAACATTATTATTATAAAAGAAAAAGAAAACTTTTGAAATATAAATTACTTATCTTTTGATAAATAAATTAAAAATGGTAAATGGTAAAATTGCTTATTTAAAAAAAATTTTATAAAACTAATATCAAATTGCTTTTTATATTAAAATTTATCTTGCAAAATTTTTGTTATACTAAAAAAAAATTCATTTTAAATAAAAGAAATTTAATATAAAAAGGGTTATTTACATAAATGAATTTATAATTTTTTTTTATTTAACATTATACTGCATTTTATTAGTAAAATTTAATGCAATAAATTTTTTTTATATAATTAAATACATATTATACTAAGAATTCATTATATTGTGGAATTCATTATATCAAAATTTGCTATAGAAAGTGCTAACTGTAATAATATTAAAAATTAAAATATATAAGTTATTTTATATTACATAATTTTGTAATTTATATTATATAATATTTATAATCAGTAAATTTATAATAATTAAATCTTTTACTTGCTTAAATATAATAAAAAATTATATTTTAATTCTTTTGCTAATTTTAAAATGAAGAAAAATAATTTATTTTAGTTTAATTAGTTTAATTGTAAAAATAAATAAGACAGTTTGTAATATTGAGAAAGTATTAATATCTGGTGTTTATTTAGTTAAAATATTTTTGATAAACTAATAAAAATATTTATTGATAAGTCTATTAATTTTGTATTTAGAAAATAGTGTACTAGAATCCTAAATAATACTAATACAATTTACAAATAAACTTTAAATACTAAAGTTTATGGTATAATTCTATTAATATTGAAATTAAAAATATGATTTTACTATCATTAGAATTCTTTTATTAAAACAAATCTAATGATATAAATTTTATTAAAATCATTACTAATTATATTAAAAACTGAAGTATATGCAATAACAAAATTTTGAAAATATCCCTGTAATATACAACTTTTGAAAAATTTTAATATAAACTTTAAGCAAATTTAAATATGAGTTATATTAATATTGTTCAGAATTCTGGTATATTAATTTTAAACTTAAATATAGAATATACTTTTTGGAAAATATAATTATAATAATAAATTTGTATGAATATAAAAATAAATTTTGGCCAGTTAATAAAAGAATAGCTGGTATTTCTTTTTATTATAATAAGAGTGATATATATTTATTTAAAAGGTTAATTTAACAATTATTATTTTTATATATTAGTATTATTATATTAAAATTAAGATCAGTATATAAGAATTATTTATTATGTTAGGATTAGGATTAGTATATTAGATTATAATTGCATTAGAATCATTAGTATATTGAATTATAAATAATTATAATTGCATTTAGTTAAAATTAAAATAATTATAATTGCATTAGAATTAGAGTTAGTATATTAAATTATAGAAAATTTCAAAGTTTGCACAGGGTGTTTAAACACGGATCATGTGAAATATAATGACACCAATGTCACATCCTCTTATTTTTTCTATGTAATATATGTATTTTTGACTGCTTTGCAAATTTACTTAAAAATAAAGAAGGTTTTAAATGCCAGTTTTGACTTTTGACTTATATATGAAAAACTGTCTTTGCCGATTATTTCCTAAATTTTTTTAAGAATGATTAGCAAAATCAATTATTTATAGGTAAAGTCAAAACTGATATTCAAATGCACCTTTGATGCCTTAGGTAAACTTATAGAGTAGGCAAAAATCCATTTATCTACTAATTTTGAAGTTTGTATTATTAGTCAAAATGGAAATAATCACATGATCTGAGTTTAAACACTCTGTGTACAAATAAAAATTGGCTAAATTATAATTGCATTAGGATTGGATTAGTATATTAGCATTTATTATATTGGATTATAATTGCATTAAAATTAAAGTCAAAGTGTTTAATTTATAATTTATGTAATAAAATTATCAATAGTTAGATAATTTTTTTATTAATATATAATAAAATTTATTGCAATAGTTGTGAACTTAAAAAACTAATAAATTTTACAGTAAACAAACAGTTATTTTATTACTATTTGATTAAGGTGATAAATTTATTTATTTATTTTTTTATTTAAAATTTTCTTAAAAATTTAAAATTTAAATAAAATAAAATAAGTTTAACTTGTAAAGTTTAATAATAAAATTTCCTAAAAAAAAATATATAAGTTTTTTTTTTAAAAAAAATAAATATATCTAATATATATATAGTAAATTTTATTTACCGTATTTTTCCAAAATTAGTCATCCCAAAATTAAGCACCCCTACCAACTTTTTGAACTTTGATAAAAAGATTTTTATATAAAATAATAGTAAAAAAACTTTCAAAATTAAGCACCTTCCCAAGTTTTTTAACCAAAATCCTTGTAAAAAAGGAGTGACTAATTTTGGAAAAATATGGTATTAATTATTATATAAATTAATAATATAATTAATTATATAATAGAATTCAAATTAACTAATCTGAAATTAAAGGTTTAGATTAATTATTTTAAATTTTAAATTACTTTAATTTACAGTGCATACAACCTAGTCCCAACAAAAAAATTTTTAAGCGGCCAAATTTTTTACATTATGTAATACTAATCCTGTAATTTTATTGGTCAAATTTATTTAATTTAAGTGATAATTCTTAATTCTAGCCAAATTTACATAGTTAATAATTAAACGAAAGTAATTTTGGCCAGACTTACATGTAATTCTGGTCAGAATAAAACGGCCAAATATTTAATTTAATAGTAAAATATTTCAACTTTGAATTGCTACTACTTTATTAAAAAATACTTTACAGGAAATTTAAAAACATAGTTTTATTAAGCTTAATCTGGTTTATCATTGTACATTTATACTTTATGTTTATCTTTTTTTTTGAATGAATAGTAGTGATTTAAATTTCATCAAATTTAATTGCTGGGACTAAGTTGTATGTACTGTATAATTATTAAAAATTTATTATTTACTATAAATTAATATATTGTTATTTTATTAATAATATTAATTTTTCATTAATTAATAATACTAGTTTATTTTTATTTTTTTAATTTTAAAATATAAGATTAGATCAATTAGATTTTAATATATTAAAAAAAAAAAAAAAAAAGAATAATTTACAAAATTTTTTAAAATTGTTATTTAGTATAAATTAAATTTTGAAAATATAAGAAAAAAGTAGTTTATAAATTAGATTTTTATAGAAAAAAAATTTTTTACAATATAAAAAAAAAATGAAATTATTTTATAAATAAATTTTTTTTATATTTATATAAGAAAAAAATGATTTTATAATAAAATTATTTTATAAAATAATTTTTTTTATTTTTTCAGTTTTTTTAAAATTAAGAAAAAAAAAGTAGAAATTAAAAAATTGATAAAATTTTTACTTTTTAATGTTAATGCTCATATATTACAATATATATAAACTAAGAATAAATTTTGTTAAACAGAAAATTAAATTAGTTTAACTTAAATATAATAATTTTTTTTTTTTATAAAGAAAAGTATTTATTTAAATTATTCTGAAAAAAATAAAAGTTAAATTGATGTAATATAAATACTATATATTCTTATTGTAAAATTTGTTAAAATTAATTTTATATTTTAAAATCTTAAATCTGTTTAAAGGAAAACTTAATTAATGAAAAAAAAAGTAAATAAAGAATTTAATGAAAGTTTTTTAAAAAAATTTCTTTATAGTAGTAAGTAATAAAAAAAATTGAAAAAAAAAGCAGAAAACTTTTAAAATATAGTTAAAAAAAAAAAAACCTCTCTATAATCACATCCTTTCCAAAAAAAATAGATGTGATTATAAAAGGACTTTTCTATAATTTTTTTATGGTAATTTTGGACCAATAAAACCAGTGTTTTTAAATTACGTGTGACAAGAAAATTTCCAATGAAAAAAACTAAATATTTATTTGATTATATTATAACACATAACACATAACACAATAACTTGATTACGAAAATTAGCATATTAATTGTTGCTATTGAATTTATACTTTAGGATTTATTTACTGACTATATCTAGATTAGTTTGTATCGTAATTAATAATAGTTATTTACGTAATGCGATGAACGCTAAAATTTTAGTCCCTAAAAATTTTTTTTTGTTGACTAATTTACTTTGTCGTCACCAAATATAATAAAATATAAAATATATTGTCTTGAAAAGAGATCAATAATCACGTTAAAATGACCTAATTCCGGTAAAAAGGTTTGATTCATTTATCCGATATAATCGTAATGTTTTATTCTCAGCGACAACAATATGCTTGTTTAACGCTTTTAAATTCTAAGTTGAATTAATAGAGTTCAAAGTAAAGCAAGTAAAATCACGTGATTATTTATCTTATGAGAGAGAGAGGAGTTCCTTGATTTGTTAAAGAGAGAGAGAGAGTTACTTTTTTTTTTTATTTTGTTAAAGAGAGAGAGAAGCGGAATTGTTTTTTGTGGTGAATGTTCAATTTTTTTTTTTTGCTTACTTTTTTTTAAAAAACTTAAATCTTACAAGAATATTTTCATATATTATAACTCTTAAATCTAACGCGTTTCTTTTTAAGAAAAATTTCTATAATTTTTTTCTAAAACTTAAGATACGATGGTTATTTCCCTTAATAAGAAAATTTTTTTTTTTTTTATCCCACTTATTTCACTTAAAAACCTTTCAATTCTATTCCACTTATTCCACTTAAAAAAAACCTTTCAATTTTATTCCACTTATTCCACTAAAAAAAACCTTTCAATTCTATTCCACCTATTCCACATAAAAAACCTTTCAATTCCTATTCCACACTTATTCTGCTTAAAACCATTCCACTTAAAACTTTTCCAGTTTCATTCATATTTTTTGAATCATCTTTTTTTTTAATCTTCTTCAGAACTATTATTTAATTTACCAATTTTTGAATATTTTTGAATAGCATTTCTAGTGAATAAACCGGACATTGACATAGTGATAGATTTATAATTATTACCAAATTCCAATCTAAAAACCATATTGGGAAAAACATTTTCTAAATATTTTCTAATATCTTCATAAAAATGATTAACGATACAATAACCATTTAAACTAAATTCAATTAATTTAGCACCACCAGTATTACAATTATTACAACGTCTATTACATCCTGAACAATTAATTGTTGAACATTTATTTGTTGAACGATTAGAACATATTGATTGAGATTGTATTGATTGTATTAAAAAACATTCCATTGGAGAACCATCACGAAAGAAAGTAATAGAAACACGATCAATTAATTTTGCAATTGCGGTACATATTAAATCTTCAATAGAATAAGCAAATTCATCTAATAAAGCACCACCAGCTTTTTGTGCTATTGGTAAAGGGGAAGTGAATGGGATACCAAAATAAGAAAATTCTTGTTCTAATTCAGGTAAAGAAGTATAAGGAGGATATATTGGTGGTGATGAAGAATGAGAACATTGATGACGTCGACGTAATACTTGATTACTAGTATTAATATTATTACTATTATTATTATTATTATTATTAGAAGTAGAAGCAGAAGGTTGAGTAGGAGTTGAACCATTAGTTTTTATAACCCCAGATAAAGCAGCTAAAGCACCAGTAGGTACAATAACATTATTATGATCTGCATGAGTACCATTATTATTAACAGAATTAATTGATGAAATTGTAGTGGTAGAAGAATTTGAACTAGGAGTAGTATTCTCAAAAGGTAATTCAGGAGAAGGACGCCAAACAATATTTCCAGTACGATAATATTCCATAATATAATGAAATGCATGGCCATTTCTATCAATAAAATATTCATTTCCATTCACCGGATGTAACATTGCTTGATTACGTGGATGAAACATTGTACCCAAGAAAGTTTTTGGATGAGCTGTTAATGTAGAACGATAAGTTTCATACTACAAAAATAAGTATGGATTTTTAGGATTTTTATTATTTGCAAGAAAGAAAAAAAAAAAGAAATCATTTAAATAAGAGAAAGGATATTAAAAATCATTCTCTTCCCATCTTTTACCTTGACACCACCTACGTTAAGAACGATACGTTCATCAATGAATTGGTCAAGTTGGTCACCAATCGAAGTACCATTATCAATAGAATCATCCTTTGACTTTCCATTTTTTGCTTCCATATTCAAAAAAACAAGCAAATTTTTTTACTCTAAAATTAATTAGTTTCCTAATTAATTAATCATGTACCAATAGTCTAGTTGTTTTCAGAAAAAAAACACGTTTTAAACTTGTACAATTTATATCACATATTTTTTATGTAACACTTTATTAACCTTAATTTATATTAAATCTATTTTACCGTATCTATTCAATATATTAACTAGTTGAATCATAAAATATATATATATATATAAAAATATGAATATGAAATCATTTTTTCTAAATAAAATTAATCGTAGTTTTTTTATAATTAAAACTAGTTTTTTTTTTTCTTATCATGTCAAAAAAGTGGGATCATTTCCCTTATTTCATATAAATTGTATAATGAGACGCAGTAATGTTTTTTTTAAGTAATTTAATTGGTTCTTTATATCGATGTGATAATAACTAAATTAAGATCTCATTACTTTTTTTTAAAAAAAATTTCTAAAAATCGATGATTAGAACAGACTAGATCTTTTTTTTTATTTTTTATTTAAATTTTAGTTAATTTTTTTTTTTTTTTTCATTTATACAATATTATTACTTCATATTATCTTATTATCTCATTGAGAATTTCCATTTCATACATCATCATTGCGGATTGCCCGAATATACTGTTTTTTTAAAAAATAAAATTCTTTTAAATGTTGACATTTTTTTTTTTTTTGATTTTCAATTTTTCATACCAATAACCTGGAATTTAAACTGAAATTTCATTGGTCCAATTACTAACCAATATTTACAGATCGGAGGAATCATGTGGATCATTAAAAAAAAAAAAAACTTTATCTCCTATCTCACTTTTAGAAAATTTTTTTTTTT